CTGTGTTTCGAGTTCGGGGTATTTAAGATATTTTATCCAAAATATAAAATTGACAATTGGGGTATTTTGATCCCAAAAATCTAATATTTGAGCCATTTAAGCCGTTTTCAGTCCCTGCTGCCAAACACCCTAGTTAAAAAATGCGCGGATCCATTTTTTACCTGGATTCCTTCGAAAATAAAAGAATACTCGTATTCGGATTTGGAATGAGTAGAGTTATCGAAGCAACTTAGGTTAACGAAGGAATACTCTTATTCGTATTTGGAGGCTTTATTTCAAAATATACATAGGTTAATATCTTCAAGCAAAACCTTAGGATGCAAACCAGACTTTGAAATCTAAAAATGAGAGCCTAAATCCTTACAAGTTTACGTATAACTTGATTGATGAGATTCTGTTTATTTATGTTTTGTTCTTGTCTCTACATAAAGTATTTAAAAGACATGAGCTTACTGTTCGAATTTAAACAATAAATTTGGATGAAACTTTTGGACCCTCCATACTGATCATAAATGTATTGCATAAACTTTGAAACGTCATACATTAATAGTCGTAAAATTTTGGATAAATGTTCCATCCTTTTAGGGATGAGAGACGTCTCTCCGTAAGTTGTCGTCTCTCATGAGATAACCACGATGATTCTGTAAGATGCATCGGACAATGCATAAGTAATATCATCAAGATCTTAGGGAGGATGAGAAAGGATTCCCTCCCCTGAAATAATATGGCTTCCAATTAGGCTAACATTGGTTAGTCGAATGATTTAAGGGTAAGTGTGTAATGTGTTTGGGACCATGTCTAAAGATCATGGTCTATGTTCAATATTTATAGCATATATGAAAAAAGAACATGGGTAGATTCCCTAGAAATCTTGGGGATGGAACTCTTTTCCTAGGTATTAGATTGCATGAAGATACTTCCGAGGGAATATCTCATTGTTGTCTTTTTCTACAAAATGTTGTCCCTTGCTCTTGTGTTCATCTCCCCTTTCTTTCTTCTCTCCCTAAGAGATCTTCTTCATCTCTTTATTGTTTTTTTGAAATTTTTCGTAGCTTTTTGAAATTCTGATTTTTTTTAATCTACAATTATAGTTTCTCTTTCCTGAAAACACACAATAATATGGTGAGTGGACTACTTGATGGTGTAACTCATCCTCGAAAATTAGTTTGGTGGTAAAAACTGGGATCATCCCTCGTTTTGCAAAAAAAAAAAAACACACACACACAATGACTGTCAATTTCAAGTTTATGAATTGCATTTAAATATTACGACGACGTCAGATGATACAAAAACATTTTTCCACCAATCTTTGTCATTTATATCAAATTATAAAACTCAAATATCTGGAATCTAAAACTATATTATAAAGCATATTCTAAAGAATCGCATTATTACGTGGTTAATAAAATTACAATCTTCGTAAAATTACAATCAACATAACTAGCTAGTAGTAGTGGACTAACTGAGTTCTGGGCACAACTCATTTGAAAATGCTATGGGATGGATGGTAGAGGGATGCATGCGCCGAAAAGCGATGATTCACTTGTCCCCTTGTCCATAGGGACCTCGTGTCATACAACCCAACTCTATGGATTTTTTTTTATAGAGGTTCCATACCTCAATATAAAGAATAGTATTTCAAGCAAGTGACGAAGTGAAATCACTCCTTATCATCTCTCACAACTTCCTCAAGCTCTTTTCCACTTCTAAGCATTATGGAAAAAATGTTCATATATAATCAACATCCAACAAATAGAAAAAAAAACATTCAAAAACTGAAAAAAGCAAAAACTTAGGAAACCCTAATTTTGTCCCTGAACAAACAAAATATATATGCAACATTCAATATTTTGTAATGTTTAAAGCTCTAGTTATATAACGTTAACTAGGCTGGACTTTAAATATGCATATATTCGATGATATTTATTAACAAGCCCATTATACACAATTGGGCCTGTATATAAATAAATACATTGGGCCATTCAGATTCATTAATAAAATAAAGAAACAACAAACGGCGTCGTTTTAAAGGGATTGAGTTGAAAAATTAAAAACAAAGTGAACAAATTAGTAATTTCCTAAAAGGTTTTTTATCGAAGAAACGTTCAAGTCGTGACAGAGAATCTCGGTCGTCTTTTTGTTGTCTCCGACTAAGC